TTATAATCCAAATTTCTTCCCCATAGGCAACAGCTTTAAAGCTCTAAATATTTCAGTTTTCAAACTTCAGCTGTCCTTTGACAGTAGCTTTTTCTTAGAGCAAGAAAATCCACTTCCCTCCCTGCCCTTTCTGCTTTCCAGCATCAAAAGGAGTTGCAGGGGTTCTGCTTAAACTTTCCAAAAACAAATTATTTTTTGGGCAGCAAGAGAGAGTGGGGAAATAAGCCCCAAAAGAGGTGAATGTTTTGACTATGTGGAAAATAGGGCTATAATGGGAACAGGTTTTGTAACCTTAGTTATAGTTGGCACGACCAGCACTTTCTGTAATAAAATTCCTCCCCTTTTTCTGAAGCTTTCAGTATAATTTGAGGAATGCAGAAGAGCATTTGGTAAGACAGCAGTGCTCTTAGAGCAGTGATAGCTTGTAATTCCTCAAATTACACCATGGAAGTACAGAGACAGATAATGTAAGCAATAGCCATTCACAAGCTCTCAGAGCAGTATTGTCCCACAGTATTGACAAATGCATATTATCCCCATAGTATCTGAGCAGCTTGAACACCAATGGATTTATTCTCATGACACCTCTGTGGCAGGGAAATATCCCCATTTTATAGATGGCAAAACTTGAGGATAGATGGCATAAACCTGTGGCAGGGCTGGAATCTGGACTTTAGGGGTCTCCTGACCCCCATCTCAGTGCCCGAACCAAAAGACCATTGTTCCGCTGCAGCTGCTTTCTTGCCACTCCCATGAGAAACTGACTACTTGGGTGACAGTTGCAGAGAGAAACTTTTGGCTGAGGAAAGGAAAAAAATGGCTGTGAACATAGACTTGTGCCTGATGATACTGGGGGGGCACAATGAGAAGGGAGGGCCATGTGACTGCCCCACCTGTTGCTTCTGGGAGGAACCTTCCAGCCCCACCTCCCTGGGCCAGGGCATCCAATCCTGCTGGGGGCTGGGGCCACAGGACTGGGAGCACGTGCCGCTGGGCTGGGCTGGCTGGCCTCAGCCCAACTCACAGCATCAGTGTCTCTCTGGAGTTCCCACACGCTCGTGGACATCGCAACAGGGGGAGGGGCATGGGCAAGGCTCCTGCCTCCAGCTGAGCAGAAGGACCTTGCTCCCAGCCCCTTCCCCAGTGACCTTCCCGCCCTGGGCCTGGCCCAGGACTGCTGCATGGGCCCCTGTGTACTTCTCCTGCTGCGCCTTTCTTCCCATCCCCCAGCACTTGAAGCTCTCTGGGCCCTGGTAGCCAGGCCTGGGCGGGGCTGAGCCACTTCTCACGCTGGCTGACTGTGCTCAGTACCACTTGCTGAGAGAGGCGGTAGCTAGGTTGACAGAGAACTCTGTCTACAGTGGGGATTAGGTCACTTTAACCATGTCACTCAGGGTGGATTTTTCACACCCCTGAGCGATGTAGCTGAGTTGTCTCTACATTTTAGTGTAGACCTGGCCTCTTTCAAAAGCAAACCAATGTTCATATGCTAAGGCCTTAACCCTGCAATGCAGGGTTAACATATTGCACAGTGAGGGCTATTTCCCTGTTCACCCCCTTCCTCACCCGCCAGCCAGGTATTTCAACTCAATGGATGGGGGCTTTTTGCAGGGGGAAGGGGAGGGCACAGTAGTGTTTTTTTTTTTTTTGTTGGTTTGTTGGGTTTTTGGGTTTTTTGTTGGTGTGTGTGTGTGGGGGGGTGGATTTTGTTTTTAAATGGGAGACTTTTTTTCTTTTTCTTTTTTTTTAAACTGTAGTTGAAAAATTTTGCTCAGACTTAAAACCCAATCCTGCCATAAGGCAGAAACCACCCTTTGAAAACATCAGCCCAAGAAATCGGTTCTTTAGACAAGCAACTAAAAATGGGGCTAGAATGGAAATACTTAACTACAGTGTAATGCAGGTGCCAGCTCTTGCCAAGGCTGCAGGCATTCGCTAAGAACTGACAAACTCATAGCTGGAGACCAGATCAGTTCACTTGTGTTAGTTGCTCAATAGATATTAGTCTTAAGAATGTATTTAGTGTTTAGACTCTAATTCATGCAGCAACTTACAAACATTCTACAATCTTATTCATAATATCTATAGTCCATGCTATAAAGAAATATGTAAGTTTTGCTTTATAACTTTGAAAAGGTCTGCTCTGAACTTATGAACTCAGATGGGAAGCGTATGGGGTTGGGTTTTTTCCACTGCCCATCCAGAAGAAATAGCAAAATCAGATAGGCCATAAAGGAACATTGCAGTACAAAGGATTGGTTAATGGCCCTGTCACACCCTGGCAATGCTGTGTGCAAGGAAGCTCATTCTGTATGGATTGGGAAGCTGAATGAAGGCAATAAGACAAAGGAAAATTGTCCTTCTTTTTGCTGCTTGAACTGTCACCGGGCCAGAGACCCCAAACTAAAGCCAGAGATCCCCAGGGGTCACCTCCTGGGTCTGCCCTGAAAGACACTTTGAATTGACAGATCACTACAACTCATGCTCAGATAAATTGGTTAGTCTCTAAGGTGCCACAAGTACTCCTTTTCTTTTTGTGAATATGGTTTGAATTTTCTGGTGACCATTTATCACTAAGTCCAGCTTGCCTGGGTGCCAAGATAGGAGAGTCTAAGGGGACTGTCTGTCACACCCTGGTAAGATTGTTATAGTGATCGAGGAGTTCCAGTTTGTTACTGGCTTGGTGAAATCTAATTATAGAACTTACCACCAGTTTGGGGTGCCTGCTCTTTTTGAGGTAGGTAGTCACGGTTGTGAGCCACTCCATACAGTGTGACACACAGTAGTTGCTGTCACCAGATCATTTCACCCAGTCTGCCGGGGTACGCTTCAGGTTACACAATTAATGCGTGGCGTATGGGTGCCAGAGCCACAGTGCTTTGCTCGTACCCGTCTGGCAACATTTACTCTGCCAGCAATACAGCTGGCTCTCAGGGAATGCATCAACATCGCAAACTTCTTGTGTTAGAAAAAACAACCCAAGACTTCTCTCGTATTTATTAGAAAGCTTGCACTGATTGGAGCTCAACCAGTACTGACCGGGCTAGTTTACAAGTAGGTTTTTTGCTCTGAAGACCCAAAGGTTGCTTCGAAGCTGAAATGTAAACCAGTGGGGGGGGGGGGGGGGAATTCCATTGGCTGCTTGGGATTATAAAGCTAATTGTGAGCCCTAAAGTATTTACCTTCACACCCACATGGTGGTTATTTAAATTGCAGACCCATCCACACCACTGAGTGCTTTAAGGCTTATTGCCAGTCACCTTGTGCTTTTCATCTATAGATGATAGTGTTCTGCGAAGGTAGGTCAGCAGCACTGTCCCCATTTTAATGACTGGAGCACAGAGGCAAAGGCTTTGCCTGCACCAGGATTTTAGCCACTGGTGTATCTGCACCAGTGCACACTTTTGTCAAACCCTTCTTTACCCCAGCACAGCTTGATCAGCACAGCTTACTCTGGTTTGGCACAGGTTACATTGCCTTGGTGTAAACTGCGTTTTCTCTTGGGTTTTGCACTGGTAGAGCTACACATGTCTGGCTTGTCAGGCCATGCAACAAGCTAAAAGCAGAGATGGAAATGGAACTTGTATCTTGATTCCCTGCCTGGTTCCCCGTTTGCAGGCAGCAGCTGCTAGCCATTCTTGCGTTAACACACTGGATGAGAGAAGTGTAATCTAGAAAAAGAAGCAAACCTACGCTTGCCTCTCATTGCTACTAGATCAGGGTGCTTGCATACACTGTCTGCAAAGCTGTTGGGAAATGTCTTTCCCACACCCATTGTCTCATAACAAAACTCCTTACTAGTCACTATTTGTCATCCTTCTACTTGTGGAAAAGAGGGTGCTTCCCATGAGGTAGGAGTGTGAGAAGAGTTCATGCATTGCTACTCGTTCCCGTGTTATCAGGATCAGGTTAGTCGAGAGCGGTGAATCAGGGAAGACTAAGTGACTTCATGGATCATCCAGTCTATTTCCCCACTCATGCAGGATTATTCCCTTCTGGACAAAACCTGCCTAGCTGGCCCCTCTGCTGTCAGGATACTGTCAGGAAGCATTTCCTGATATTTATTCTAAATTTCCCTATTTCTTTGATTTTTTTTTTTTTTTTTTTTTAAATTCTCAAATTCTCCTTCATCCTTGGTATTTACAATTTGTAGATAGTTGGTTTATCATGGATATCTGTCTCTGCACATTGCTGTACCCCAATCTTCTTGTTTCCCCCAACTTGATAGTGACCAAAACGACTATTTTGGAAACCCAATATGACACAAGAAAGGGTCAGGTACTTAGCTCTTCTGAAAATCAGACACTTTAGTCTGTCTTGCATCGGACGCTCAAATACTGAACGTTTGTGAAAACATAAACCTATACTCTGTAGTATCCATTCTCAACCAGAGCAAGTGAAATTTATTTTGTTTAATACACTCTGCTAAAATAGGGTATCACAGCAGTGGCTATTTCATCCTTTGTTTCTAATAGTTTTGTAGTTCTACCAAAAAATCAAACTTTCCAGTCAAGACTTAGGCTCTATCAAGCCGTACTGCCTAAATCATGGTGTTGTAGCTATTTAAGCTTTTTTCCTCCCCTTAGTATTTAATAGTTTATTAAGGTTGGAAGTTTCTGATAAGATAGGTTTCAGAGTAACAGCTGTGTTAGTCTGTATTTGCAAAAAGAAAAGGAGTACTTGTAGCACCTTAGAGACTAACCAATTTATTTGAGCATAAGCTTTCGTGAGCTACAGCTCACTTCATCGTATGAAGTGAACTGTAGCTCATGAAAGCTTATGCTCAGATAAATTGGTTTGCTCAAATAAATTGGTTAGTCTCTCTAAGGTGCCACAAGTACTCCTTTTCTTTCTGATAGTAATTCTTAGGATCATGCTTTTTTCTTTAAAACAGGTGCTGCATTTGTGTTCTATTTTCAGTTAGCCAGTCTTTGCAAAAACCTAGACAACTAGCATTTGTTGTTGTTTTCACTTTAAGACTCTCTTTTCTCTAACTGTAGGATGATGAGAGTCTCCAATACCTGACCCATGAGGAGAAGGATGTTCTCCGGTTTTTTGAAGAAACGATTGATTCTTTAGATGATGACTTGGAAGAACAGGTCCTACATGATAGCGGTATCCACTGTCACTCCCCAAGATCATCGGACAAAAATGTTTCCAGCCATTCAGAATCTGAAGATATCATTGATTTGGTGCAATCAACCCTTGAGAGCAGTGATCACAAGTGTACTCTGAACAGAGAAGTAACACCAGGTAAAATGTGACTGCTTCTAGTATATGTACATTGAAGCAAATCTGTTATTACTCAGGATACAGAAGTTCTAAGTCTTTTCAGTACCAACATACCTCTTGTTCTGAATTTGTTGAATCGTACTTCTTAAAAAGCAGATTTTTCGCCATGTCCCTCCCTGTTGTAGGGGAAGTTTGTGTGCCAGTACCACCAGAGGTGACGCATGGAGTGGGACATGCAGGGTCACCCCCCCAAAGGTTGCTCGGTCACATGGTGCAGCCTGGCGCCCCTTCCTGAGAGGCAGCTGAGCCAGCGGGAGAGACAGAGGCAGGAGAATCAGCTGCAAGCTGCAGGGAGGGGCCTCTGCTTTCCAGGAGGAGGGAGGGGGTGCACTACATTCCGAGGGGGGGGACTCCTTGAGGGGGCGTGACTCAAGCTGTTCCGGGGTTGCTCCCGCCTCCCTCCCCCCAGCAGGCACAGGTTGTCTGAGTACCACCCACGTGGCTTAGTAGCTCAACATTATTAATTTCTGCCCCCCTGCCCCAAAACACCAGAGCACTAACAAAATAAAAGTATCATGAAGTTGTTCCAATGAGCAATAGGAGTGAAATGCACGACCACGACTGTAACAAGTTTACTTGTTCATGCACCCGTTCCTTTACCCACCTCTAGCCCACTCTTCTGTGGACAGTCCTCTTGTGCATTGATGGTAGTGGAGCCACCATGAGGGCTTAGAGGAATGTGGCTTCACTGACCAAACTCCACCACATGGGTAGGTGGCACCCATGGAGCGTGGCCTCCTGATGCCTACACACAGCCAGGTTCCTCAGACTCTCTGCAGAAGAGGAGGACTTGCCCATTAGCAAATGAGCTACTTGGGTCTTAAACATGTTTCTTTCCCCTCTGGTCACAGTAACCAAGAAAGGGCCCAAATACCAGAAATAGAGGAAAAGGAGAAGGCTGTTGAAACACTGCACATACATCTAGCAGGTATGGGAATAATGGATTAGCAGAAGGAAGGATTGTATCAAACCCATCACAGACAGTGTCTAAGTGGAGGTGTTAGTTTGATGCCAGAGGAGACATTAAGCTACTCAAGTTCCAACTTTTTATTCAAGTGAAAAATTGGGGGACTAGGGGGAGCTGTGGGGGGAGAGGCCAATACTCGTGAAAGGAAGCCTTGTGTTCTACTCTCTGCAAGGACCTAATGAGATTCCATTTGTTTTAAGTGTCAGAAGCTGCCAGGAGAACAGATGGCCCTAAATCAGAGGGCAGTGAGCTGCCTGAGAAGATTCCACCTCCCGATGCTCCCCCAAGCCACCCTTCAGCTCCTCCATTGATGAGCGATGAGAGAGTTCTTGCTACATGCCCAGTGCAGCACCCCAAGCTTCATCATGCCATCCCCACTCCACTTATCTTGGCTCAGAAAATGTCCGAGAAGCAAGATGAGACCAAGACAAGCTCTCCCACTTCCCCCAAGGAGGAGAAGCCTGTGGAGACAAGGAAAGCCCCAGTGCAGAATGGAGACTGTTTCCCAGCCCCTAAGCACCCTCCACTGCCTGGACCCAAATCCTACCGGTTTCCAAGTAATATCAACATAACCAATGCAGGTGGGAAAGAATTCAACCAAACTATCTCTAAGGCAGCAGTCAATGTGCAGGTGCGCAAGGCCCAGGTGCTGGCCAACATGAACGGAGCAGCCTTTGGGACAGCTGAAATAGAAGAGAGGTGGCAGAAGAATGAGCTCTTGGTTCGCAACAGAAGCTCCTCCTTAAGAGATCTAACTTCTGAGCAAATACGATATGACGCTCTGACTAAACTAGGCCTGGTGAAAGGAAGGCCAAGTCTGGTCCAACAATATCATGCCCCAAACACACAGAAGATACAGGACTTGCAGGAAGAACGGGGAGAGACTGTTCCTAATGGGTATCAAAATATCCACACAACCTTAAAATGCGATCCCAGCCCTCTCCTTCCTATGGGCAAGACCATGAAGATCAAACCAGACACAACTCTCACCAGTGACAAGGTTGCTCGACAGAATGTTGCCAAAAGCTTTTTTGACCATGGGCAGTCCGACTTAAATCTGGATATGAGAAAGAGATCAGGCTCACTGCCTAGACCTTCAGGATTTCGACCCCAGGGCATAACAGTACAGTTTTCTGGCCGAGGCTCAACAGAAGAAGCCAGGAAAGAGGCTCTTCGGAAACTGGGGCTGCTGAAAGAGACTATGTGAAAATCTGAGGGGACAATCCTGACACCTGGGGGCAAGCGAATGGATTGGCTTTGTGTTGGAGTAGTCAAACAGAATCAGGCTTAAAAGGAAACTGGGAGAACAAAGGGCAGTTCTCTGCTCCTGCAACCCAAGGAGGAACTAAACACTGTGAAATCGCAGGGACTCACTATCTTCACACCAAGAGTGGCACCCCAGAGAGTCAGCAGTGGGTTCAACACTACATCCTACCAAGTTACCTGTCTGATGTTCAGTGACTCGTGAAGACTTTAGAAAGAAAAAGTCCTGGCTGTAGCAGAGGGCATTGCGTTAATGAAGTGTTGTGTGCAGTATTTTTTTTTTATTGTATGTAGATGACAAATCAAATGGAGGATTTTCCTTATGCTGTACCATTCTGAAGCCAAAAAACAGATAGGGGTGTGTGTGTATGATATAACTGAAGTCTTCAACCTATGTGACACAATTCTATGACTTCTTTCTTTCTTTCCTATCATATTTTATTACCCAGCTCTGCCCACATCGATACATAACAGGTGTTGGAATCTTCCTAATCCTCACTCTGCCCAAAATGTCAGCTCAAGCACGTCTCTGACTTGTGCCTCTGCACAGAGGGTGGTTTCCTGTTTGGCCTTCTCTTGGACATAGAGGCCCAGGCTTGCAGTGGGTAACGGCATTGTTCTGCCACTCTATTTGAACGTCACCTCTCCTCCTAAGCAGGTGCTTCCTGAGCATCTAGCGACCTACTGGGTGTACAGTAAAAGGCACCTGCTAGCTCTCAAGGATACGTGCAATGTGTTCATCGTGTTCCCCTGACAACCAAAGAGTAACTTGACAATCGTATAAAGGTTTAGTTTCCTACCAGAAATGATGACCAGAGAAGCCATAGGAACAAGTTAACTTTGTACCCAGAATGAGAGCCTTGTGTTTAATGTCTGTCTTTAAACAAGAGTTCAGCAGAGGAAACCTCATTGCTCTGAAACCATAGTTCTACTCCACTGAGCAGCTGTGGCTCAGTACTTTTGTTACTTTTATTAACTGACAACTGTTTTTTCTAAGTCTTTCCTATGCTCATCCCTATAGTGTGAGAGCCCTAATAATTCCCAATTCAGAAATGTACGTTTCTTTGCAAACATCAGCTTATCCTGCTAACACACCACCAAAGTTATAACCAAAATCCCTGTACATTAAACAGAATTAAAGGCACTTGTATTTTCCAACACATGAAGACTTCCAAAACTCTGTCCAGTTGCCACTTTCCTGTGCCCAGCAGACAGAGTTTAAAAGTGGTGTGAAAATACTTATTTTTTAAATTTTAGAAGGGATTTATCTCCCATATGGCACAGTTACTCTTCCTAAACAAAATAACTCATTTTCTCCTTCCAGAAGTATCCCAAAATACTTTAAGAATAGAAGCTAGTTTGGAATCTAATGGCAAAGTATCTGAATCTATTTACTCATCTTTATTTTTGTACATTTGTAAGAGGCCCAAAACTTTTAATTTCTCCTAAAGGGAAAGATAAACCCAGTCTCCCTCTCTCTCACACTTTTTTTATGTAGCCTGTAGCATTTTTTTCCCTTTCCTTTTTTAAATGGTTGAGTTATAAATCTTGGAAAATAAGAGGAGTGGTTACAATAGAGACTAACACACCCTGTATTATAAAGTTCTGACAACTGTGATAAATATATTTCTGTATTTCCTTGATAGAAAGTTTTAAGCAACACTTTCTGAGTAGAATTTATAAATGAAGCTTTTGTGAAGGAAAATCTTTTCATAATCGTTTACCTGCCTCATAAGTTATAAACATTTTTTTAAAAAAATAGTATTTAATCAGTTTTTATAATTGATTGCATATGTTATGGAATCTGGCTGGTTTTATTATTTAAATGAGGGATTATTTCTTCAGGCTTTTAATGCTTTGATTTGAAATCATGTTCCCTGTTGTAGCAGATGTTGTAAGTAATTTTGAAATAGACTGACTATTCTTCAAGCAAGCAAAGCACTTAAGCATGTGTTTAGTTCAATACATGACTAGATCCACTGAAGCAAATAAGACTACTTGCATGCTGAACTTTCAGCATGTATTTAAGTGCTTTGCTGGACCTGAGAATCTGGTCCCAATTCAGGACTGTATTTAAGCATGTGCTTGGGACTTAGGCTCATGTTCAGGACAGCAGTTAAGTGAGGGTAATGCATTGCTAATGCATTAAACGTATCATCTTAACCATTTTTTATTTCAAATTCTACTTTTTCTACAAGCAAATCAAATTGAAGTGTTTCACAGCTTTTATGCATCAAACTTTTTTGAATCCTAGTAAAGAAACACTACAAATGCCAAACCTGTATAAACCATCTTTACATTTTATCACATTTCTCTCAACAGTAACAAGTATTGATCTTGTGCTTCAATTTTTTTTTCTACAGGTGAGATCACCCTCTTAACAATTAAAAAAAAAACAAAAACAACCTTTTGTTTTACCCAAATATTTCTTTGAGTGAAGCTGAATTTCATATATTAGTAAAATCATAACATTTAAAAGTTGATAAGGTTTTTCTTATCTAGAAGGTATACAAGAGATCGCAAAATCTTCAGTGTTACCTTGTCCTTTCATTCTTCAATTAGGGTTGAATCCTCAGCTGGTGTGAACTGGCATAATTCTAAAAATACAGCAACTGAGGGTGTGTGGGCCAGTGTATTTATTTGGGTATGCTAACATACCCATTACCCCATTGATAAAACCTTTCCAGTGTGCCTAAAACTGTAGAAAGTAAAGCCATGTTCTATATGTGAAATTATTATAGCTGCTAATGAAATAACTTGTATATTAATACAAACTATGTTGTATATCATGTCACTGTGTATGTAAATGTTGGAGGTTTTATTTTAAGGTGGTAATTTGTCTTACATAAATGTGCTCTGAAAACCATAATGAATCAGCTGATTAAACTAACTAGGATAAAACTCAATGACCAGTAGTGGATGAAAAGTGGAGTTATTGTTTTTGCCTTGCAAATGCTTCTTTTATCATCCAGCAGCACGTGACTCCTTTCTTTCTAAGATGAAATGACTGAGGCCATGCCTATCCTACAGGGGCTACAATGGCACAGCTTCAGCTCTGTTACCTGTGCTGGAGATGCAGCCTAAAGCAATGGAAGGGGTTTCTCTGTCACTGAAGTTAATCCACCTCTCCATGTGGTGGTAGTTAGGTTGACAGAGGAATTCTTCTGTTGAGTTAGCTATAACTACCACAGGGCTAAGGAGCTAGGTTGATCTAAACTTTAAGTGCGGTGAGGGATGCGTGGAGGGGCCTCCAGGGTCATGTGCCCCCCTTCCCCGATTTTGCTGCTTGGCTGGTACTGAGCATGCTCACACATATTGACCCTGGGGCTGAAGCCAGCTGCCTTCACTCCCACTTCACTCTTATATACCTTCACTGCCGCACAATTGGCAGGCATGGGTTGTTTCCTTAAACTGCTGACATGAATTAAGCCTTCCCTGTCTCATCCCGGTTCTAGTACTCGGAGATGCACAAATGTAAAGAAAACAGTGTTGTGCATTCAAAATGTAGCACTCATTTCATAAGGCGATATTTGCATCCTTGCCTTTGGGGTAATATCCTTTGGGCCAGACCAGCACCCTTTGTGTACTGTAGTGAGCAAGCAGAAATCATCACCTTTCCCTACCACTTTGCTATTGTAAAAACGTCCTAAAGAGGGGGGGGTGGTGTTTCCTGTATAAACTCCTCACAACATCTCCATGTCTGCAGGGATGTGCTGCCTGCATTGTAGGAAGCAAGCATAACCCTGGAGGAGTATACCTAGAAGAGGGTGTCTTCGTTTTTCTCCTCATGCAGCACAGAGTTCCTGTAAGGAAGATTTGTACAGTAATATGCTCAGTGCTCTTCCTAATTGCTTTTTATTTTTTTTACTGTTTCTCTTCCCTTTCCCTGGGATACTTGTATATCAATAAATGCAGGAATGACAATTTTCTGAGGAAACTTTAAAGTTGCATCTCCACGCCAGGTTAGCGTCTCTGTGGTTGAATAAAAGGGTTAAAGTCAACTTCTTTAAAAAGTGAGGTTCTATTTGTATTATAGCTTAAAGCTGAAGCTTTCATTTGAAATCGCTTTTCAGATTGATGCCGTAGCTAAGAATGTCAAATATGCATGCCTAAAGTGAGGCCCCCATCTCTGTGTTGAGATGCCTAAACCAGTTGTCTCATTTACACAGGTGCCATGCATCTGCCGCTCACACAGGGTGACCAGACAGCAAGTGTGAAAAATCGGGACAGGAGGTGGGGGATAATAGAAACCTATATAAGAAAAAGCCCCAAATATCCAGACTGTCCCTATAAAATCGGGACATCTGGTCACCCTAGGCTCACATCAAAGCTTGTGGGAACTGCTGGTTTATAGCACGACTGAAAATCAGGTCACTTATTTGTGTGATTCAGTCTATGCAGAGTGGCTGGTACATTTATTTTGGCCTTGACATTTTAATTGTATGGTTATAGGGGCTTATTGAAAACCCAGGCTATGCACCAAGTGTCTGTGTTAAAGGGGCTAATCCTTCGGGTGTGTTCATGCTAGAAACGCTGCAGCTGTGCGCCTGTACTGTAGGCCCTCACTACAGCGATGGAAGGAGGTCTTCTGGTACTGCAGTAAATCCACCTCTCCAAGAGGCAGTAGCTAGGTGGACAGAAGAGTTCTTCCGTCAACCCAGCAGTCTCTACAGTGGGGCTTAGTTGGCTTAGCTGGGGGTCTCAGGCTGTGAATTTTTCAAACCCTGAGCAAGGGAGCTCGGTCAACTTAAGTTTTAGATGTAAACCAAGCCTCACTTATGCTTTAAGGCAGTGGTTCTCAAACTTTTGTGCTGGTGACCCCTTTCACATAGCAAACCTCTGAGTGTGCCCCCCTCCCCTTATAAATTAAAAATAGGTTTTTTTATATATTTAACACCATTGTAAATACTGGATGCAAAGTGGGCTTTAGGGTGGAGGCTGACAGCTCGCAAACCCCTGCTCTAAGGCCTGGCCTGCACACAGATTTTGTATAGGTATAACTATTTTTGTCAAGGGTGTGTTTTTTTTCTTTAAAGTTACACTGGTACAACCCCTGGAGTGCATGCAATTATACTAGTATAAAAATGGTTACAGCGGAATAGCTTATTCCTCTTCCTGTGTGGGAATAGCTCTACTGCTATAAGCTTCATTACAGTGATACAAAAGTTGTATGTTGACAAGGCCTAACTCCCCCTTTGTGCTCCAGCAGCATCATGGGGCTTTATAACTAGCATCAGTTTAACTCAGGCTATGTCGAGTTAATTGAGGGACGTGATCGTTCCCCTCTATTTGACATTGGTGAGGCCTCATCTGGAGTACTGTGTCCAGTTTTGGGCCCCACACTACAAGAAGGATGTGGAAAAATTGGAAAGAGTCCAGCGGAGGGCAACAAAAATGATTAGGGGACTGGAACACATGACTTATGAGGAGAGGCTGAGGGAACTGGGATTGTTTAGTCTGCAGAAGAGAAGAATGGGGGGGGATTTGATAGCTGCTTTCAACTACCTGAAAGGAGGTCTCCAAAGAGGATGGATCTAGACTGTTCTCAGTGGTAGCAGATGAGCGAACAAGGAGTAATGGGCTCCAGTTGCAATGTGGGAGGTTTAGATTGGATGTTAGGAAAAACGTTTTCACTAGGAGGGTGGTGAAGCACTGGAATGGGTTACCTACGGAGGCCATGGAATCTCCTTCCTTAGAGGTTTTTAAGGTCAGGCTTGACAAAGCCCTGGCTGGGATGATTTAGTTAGGGTTGGCCCTGCTTTAGCAGGGGGTTGGATTAGATGACCTCTTGAGATCCCTTCCAACCTGGCTATTCTATGTCTACGCTAGAAACACTACAGTGGCATGGATGCAGCTGTGAGACCATATTTAACGACCGTGTTTGGGATCTAGTGGCTGATGAAGCATGAATGAAGACATCATTTTTCCACAGTCTACTGTCACTTTATGACCCGTTTAAATACACTTTTTTTTGCCCAAATCATTGACATTTTTTCTTGAACCATTTTAAATCAGAGCTTAGTTTTAAAATGTTGAGTACTAGCCCATCTCAGTGTTAATTCTCTTTACCTCACCTCCCTTTCCCAGCACCGTTGTATCTAATTCACTAGGGGCACTGGGCTGTTGTCAACAGCAGCAGCTCAGAGTTCTGTGGGCACTGAAAGTTGATAAAGATTCCTACCTTAATTTTCAGCTGAGAGTGGCATTATAGCCTGATCTTTCTGGTGCACAGATGAAATTTACTGTTATGAGCTGGATGAAATCTTGTTGGGGTTGAGTTAAAACGTTGCTCAAATTGAGAGGTGAACATGCCCTTCATTTAAGATAGTTAAATGGATGCACCCGTGTGTGCATGTACACACACAGAGTCTAGTCTGCCCAGAAACTAGGACCAAGGGGGTGGGGGCTTCCCATGGGTACTGTGACCAAGAGTGGGGTGTTATGAGAAAGAGAGCAAACACACCCAGAGAAAGTGACAGAGGCAAAAAAGCCAAGCACTAGCCTTTGAACACAGCGTGACCCTGGCAAAGCTAGCGAGAGAGAGCTTTTGGATCTGTTTGCTAATGAGCCCTGGGGCTGTTATTATGTTTAAATGGCTTATTTTGTTCTTGGTTCCTTGTGTGCTCAGATGAGCAAGACTTTACAAGGTTGCCACTGCTCCAGGATTGTCTTGGAGTCTTCAGGAATTAAAGATTACTCTTTAATTAAAAATTGTCATGTGATGAAACCTCCAGGAATACCTCTAACCAAAATTCGTGATCCTACTTCATAAGGAACTTACAACCAACAAGCTGGCATCCAAGTTATGCTGCATACCAGCTTCCATCTATGTCTACTTCCAGCTGAAATATCCCTCAGGCCCTGAAATTTGCATAGGTGTTTGGGTCAAAAAGGGCAACAACAATGAATATCTGCCATAAAGAAAATCATGCTCTCCCATGTCAACTCTTCCCTCCCACACCTTCCCAAAAGAGAGCGCTTAGAAATCAATTAATCACGTTTGCTTCTTCCTAGCGAAGCAGTTGTCAGCCCATGGGGAAAAAGTGACTTTTCATTTAAAGTAGAAAAATTCAATGGCAGGATAGATACTGAGAAAAACAAACAGCAACAATCGGTGGAACTAGCTTCCTCCTTCCCTCATCCCTAGCAGACAAATATCAAGGAAATTATGAGCTGGGCATTCAGCTGTTGCAACTACCAGAGCCCCACTGAACTCCAGGGCACTTATGCTGCTTTATAACAACTGCCGAGGGTAATTTTGAGCTCTACGCTCTTTATATCAGTATGATCCAAATGATCTTCCTCACTAGACTGAGTCCTCCATGGCTGATTTCCACCCCAGTTGTCATTTCAAACATAGTAAAGAAATGCAGAGAGAAAGCAGCGCATTATAGCCATAATAAGGATTTCAGCAGTGACATGTACTTGCGCTCCTACCCTGTCCCACTTTGCTTATGTTGACTTCACAGCGAAAGCAACTCCAGACAAGGGCCTGCATTTTTGTGGGGGGAGGGGGAGGGGGCCCATGAAGAGTCATGCACAGTGCTGCTATGGTGTAATGGCTCTAGCCTGAACCCCTATGGCCAATGGGAATTAAAGTATTGCCTTCAAGTATTGCCTTAGACCCTCAATTAACGGAGGCAGTGAAGGATGGGAACAACACAGGTGGTTATCAGACCCATTTTACCAACCAAGCAAGGGGCGGCAAGTTATATGAGCCCATGGTGCCCGTGCTCCAGCAATAGTCAGGGTCCGGAGGCCCGGCTCCACCAATGTTTGGGGCTGGGTCTCTCCCCCGGCCCGCTTGCTGCCCCGTGCACCTCCCCCAAGTGTCTCGGCTTGGGCCTGGGGCAGTGGGCGACAGCCCTGCCTCGCCGTGCTGGGCTCCCTCGCCAGCCGCTGCTGAGGGG